GGAGGTAGCTGTCTAATTAAAGTTGTTATCTCCCTGTACCACATTGCTCCTTGGATTTTGAAAGTGTTTGTAGATTGCAAGACAATTTGTATTTGTTTAGATTTTCCAAAGGTTGAGGGAAATAGCATATTGAAATGCAGCCAGTACCTACCCACATGTTCACTTTGTTTTTCTCTATTCTCACAAAACAGTAAAAGTTATGTCTTCATGAGCAATTAAAAGATGGATGGGAAGAGGAGGAGGGATGTGTGTTCAGCCTGCATTTCACAGTTCCTCATTTTACTTAGATTGATTGACTCTGGCTCTGTTTTTTGACTTCATAATATGAGTTTAATTGTGATAAAATAAAGATATACTTTACTGATACAATAATCCACTGATGGTTTACTTGTAATTTGTAAATAGGTAGAACATGAGAAAGTATAAAATATTTTTTCTTCCCCATTAGAGACCACATTGTAATTTCTGTAGCATCTCAAGGCTCTTTTAGTAAGCTTTCAAAGTAAGCGTTAAAGAAGGCACTAGACATAGAGCTGTGCTGGATACGACTTAGAAAGACAGACTCAGAAATTGCCATTGCCAGGTTGTCTACCTCCTGGTCACTGACATTTAGCCTGTGCATGGTCTCAGTTCTTTTCTATCTGTGGGCTCTTAGATCATTTAGCTCTAAGAGATGGGAGTTGAAACATGTCTGCTTGAAGTGGATCAGTTCCCTTCTCTGTATGTACCAGGACCAAATTATGGAATAGGTTGTGTTGGAGAAGTTGAAGGTGAAAACTGGAATAGGCAAGAGTAGGCAGTGATAGGGACAGAGTACTTAGAACTTTGGAGAAGTGGGGAAAAGGAGAGGAATGAGTGAGCCAACCACATTCCGTCTCTCTTGCCCATAGAACCATATGAAACAAAACAAAATAAATTGGACTATGTATGGCTTTTTCACACCAGTATTTTAGATGGCTCTTCCATTGAATTAGGAAGACTTACTGGGTTTCTCACCTTATTTGACCCCACCCCTAACCCCAGGTTGGACTTAGTGTTATCCCATAGAGGCTTTATGGCTCTGTAGTAGGGCCACTGAGCTGCGTGACCCCAGGGGTGTACCATGCCACAAAGAACATTATGCTTTCAATACCCTGGGGAGTAACAATGTCTGTAAATTTAGGGAAGGTATATGGGATATTGGAAGATGAGGAAAGAAGGCATTAGGAATAAAGGAAAAAAAGAACAGATTTCTGAGGAGACTGGTGGTCAAGAAAATATAAACACTCCTTTTAGTTCAAAGATTAATCTTCCTTAGGCAATGCTGAGTTCTGCCCTGAAAGAGTACTAATATCTGTCATAAAATATTTTAATCCTCAGTACTTTTCCTTTATGACTTGATTATGCCTAACTCAATAGAAGCGCTTCTTGCTTAATTAAATGGATTATCAAAATAACAAAAATTTCAAAGCCCTAAATTCTATGGGAAAATGTAGCTAGAAAATTGGAGGGAGACTAGAAATTAAGAAAAAGATTTTCATAAAAGCTTTGAATAGATGGAAGAATTACACATATTCTCTCTTTTGAGAATGCAAGGAATGTTTTATCTTTGTGTGCAGTTCTAGGAATAGTAGCAACAGCCAGGACCCCTGCATGATAAATTTCAATTTCTCAGATCATGAAACTTAGTAGGGTTCCCTAGTCTCAATTTTAATATTCTGAGTTCTAACTTTTAAGGGCTAAATTAAAAGTATTACCCTTTTGAGTTTCATTGGTTTTCAATAGCTTTTTGAAATAATGAGCTCCCTTTACACGCATATCATATGAACAAAGCTGCCCCAAAATGGCTGCCATGATACTCTTAATGCTTCCTGTCCCAATTTCCCCACCTTATCTACCTGTTTCCCTATGTGAAGAAAAAAATATCAGCTGTAGCCTGGACTCTGGCTATAAATGAATCCAGGCAAAGATATGCGAATATGGATGCAAAGCAATTGTCACCACTGATCATATGGCTGTTCTTTGCATTTTACCTAACTTTGGTCATCTCCATTTGCTTGTCCCTTTACCAAAGACATTCTCTCTATTGTCCCTTTACCAAAGGCACCAACACTCTCAGAGAAAAGAAGGTTGTGGTGTTTGCTATCCCTGAAATGGGACTGGCTTTGCCCACCACACACTTCAGAGATCACTTCTGCTTTGTCTCTCTGCCTGCAACTTAGATAGCTACCACCAAGTTGGTGGTTACCCCTTGGTAAAGCCTTTAAGCTCCTTTCTAGGCATGGAAAATTGCTTAGCTAAATAGTGTGAAGATATTTTATAAATGCTGAAGTATTTATAGCTTTAGATATATTTAATTAATAATTACTTATGGTTTCATATTAAGAGGAAGCACTGGAGCAAAATTTAAAGAAATAGCTCCACCTAGGGACAAGTTAATGCCAACTCCACAATTTCTGCCTTCTCTCTCCTTAGTTATTTATCTTGAAGTGTCATCACTTTTTAATTGGAAGCAGGTGTTTTAAATCCTTATTCCAAAGTAGTTCCCAGGTGTTTCAGTCCTTAGAACTGTGTGCAGTCCTGACAACTAAGGCCTAGCTCTGGAATCAGATAACTTTTAGGAGCTCTCCTTCCCGGTGTGTCTCATGGTCAGCGATGGTGTTGTATCTTAGTCTCTTGACTGCTCCTGTTTTTCCTCTAAAAGTATTATCAAGCTTCAACTCTCCTTTCTCAGTCTGTTCTGATTCAGGTTATACTCATATAAGATGGAGAGAAGATCCTATTATTTCTTTTCTTCCCACATCTACCTGAGAACATTGAATTACAATGATATATGCTTTTTTTTTTTTTCAATTAAGATGAACTTACTGTTCTAATTAAATTTTTTTTCTTGGCACAGACTATGTGTAATCCCTTTTTTATTTCTAAGAAATAGACTTATAGAATATAATAAAATTCTTGTGTTAAAACCTTGGTTTTATAACCTATTTTAGCCCACAGTCCAAAGCAGGGGCTAAAAATGGGACCCTCTTACCCCAATTGTAGTTCAGGGTTAAGGTACAGAGGTACAGAATTCATATTTCTTTTTCTTTTTTCTTTTTTTTTTTTTTTTTGAGATGGAGTCTCGCTCTGTCACCCAGGCTGGAGTGCAGTGGTGCAATCTCGGCTCATTGCAAGCTCCGCCTCCTGGGTTCATGCCATTCTCCTGCCTCAGCCTCCCTAGTAGCTGGGGCTATAGATGCCCACCACCACACCTGGCTAATTTTTTGTATTTTTAGTAGAGACGGGGTTTCACCATGTTAGCCAGGATGGTCTCTATCTCCTGACCTCATGATCCTCCCGCCTCGGCCCTCCAAAGTGCTGGGATTACAGGCGTGAGCCAACGTGCCTGGCCCAGAATTCATATTTCTAGCAAGAATCCTGGGTGATTCAGACGTAGGCAGTCCTCAGTCCACTCTAAGAAATACTTATCTAAATTATTATTTGTTTTCCAAGATGGAGTTTTTAAAACAGTCATTTTAAAGTACAGATATTTGGATTTCATCACAAAATGAACATGCATTTTTTAAAACCTCGTATTTTAACCTCAAACTTAGAGAAATGTTTCCTCTGAGACTTAGAAAAATGTTACATAGATTTTTTTGATAACAATACTTGGATGAAAATACATTCTCTCTATTGGAGATACTTTTATTCTAAAATAACAGTAATATTTTCTTTTGGGCCTATTTTCAGAATAAATTCTGTAAATTACTATTTCTTAGTTACATATGTGGTACCTTGGTATTTAGTATAATGATGATTGGTATATAGATGTTGTACATTTTCTGTGTTTTGGCTTAATCTCTGTCAGGAACTTTCATAATTTCTATCATGAATAGTAAGAAATACATGAATTCAGCACACATTCCCAGCTGATCATTCAAAAGGCAATTTCCTAAAAAGTTGCATGCCTTAGTCCTGTAACTTCTAATGAGTTGAGTGAAGTGAGAGATTCTCTTTTGGAACAATGAAAAATTATGGTTTTGTTTTTGTTTTTCTGTTTTTTTCTTTATTTACTTTCTTTTTCTTTTTTCTTTTTTTAACTTTTTTTCTTTTTATTTTATTTTAAAAGTGATTTTTTTAAAAAATGGAATTGTAATGCAGGGAATAGTGGAGGGTTCCAGATCAGGTTGTTTTTCTTTTCTTTTTTTTTTTTTTGAGACAGAGTCTCACTCTGTCACCCAGGCTGGAGTGCAGTGGCACAATCTTGGCTCACTGCAACCTCTGCCTCCTGGGTTCAAGCAATTCTCCCACCTCAGCCTCCCCAGTAGCTGGGATTACAGGCATGCGCCACTATGCCTGGCTAATTTTTGTATTTTTGGTAGAGATGGCATTTCACCATGTTGGCCAGGCTGTTCTTGAACTCCTATATAAAATGATCCTCCTGCCTCAGCCTCCCAAAGTGCTGGGGTTACAGGTGTGAGCTACCGTGCCCCGCCTCAGGTCAGTTTTAAGAGTTGCAGTGATTCAGAGCCATTTGGTCAGCTTCAGCTTAAAGCGGACCATGCAAGTTAACACATTTGTCTTTTTTGTGTACTATAGACAAAGGTTGAAAAAAGCATCTTGAAGGAAACTTCCTTCTCCAGTAGATCACAGGAGAGGAATAAAGGTTTCAGATGACTGTTTTTCTAAGCTTTTAAAAAATGTGATGTTATGCAATAACTTGACAGGTCATGTGCATTTTATCTTTTCCTTTCAAAATTATCTTTGCCTCTTTTAATTGTTGATTATACTTTTATTTTATTTTATCTTTTTTAGAAGAATGTCATTCTATCACCCAGGCTAGAGTGCAGTGGTAAAATCCTAGCTCACTGCAGCCTCATGTTGATCATACTAAATAAATAAATAAATAAATAAATAAATAAATAAATAAATGTTTTCAGAGCATTATTAGCAGTGTCCATAGGGGTGTTTCAGATTGGTGTCACTGGCTCATGAGCACCTCCATTGTTTTTCTCTCCCTCTTTTTTTTTTTTTAGAGTAAAGATGGCAAAAGTCCCCTGCACATGACAGCTGTCCATGGAAGGTTCACACGGTCACAGACCCTCATTCAGAATGGTAAGAGAGATGCTTCAGTAGTGTCATTATTTCAATAGCTTCCTGTTGTGAATTTGGCTATCAGTTACCTGCATATGAAAGTCAATGCCCTGTTTTGGAGTTTTAGTAAGCATGCAATTACACAATTCTTTGATGTACTTTGCTAAAAACTGTTCATCAGACATGTCATCAACATCCACCTTAATAGTAAAAACATAAAGCCATAGTATCACAGTCAATTTGGAGTCAGGCACAGAGCATGAGCTTGGAAATTGGAAATGATATATTTATATAGACTCAAGATCCTGTGCTTCTCACTCTGAAACTAATAAAGGTAAGTAGCATTCATTTTCTAGCAACAAATCTGAAATATTTTTAAATTTTAGAGTTCACTGTAGTTTCCTAAGTTAAAACTTATTAAGCTAGTTGGGCAAAAGTAGGAAAAATGAGATAACTCAGAGGAAAAGCAGGTAAGGATGTGATATAAAGGATCATAAAATCACAGGCTTAGACGGGGCGTGGTGGCTCATGCCTGTAATCCCATGCACTTTGGGAGACCGAGGTGGGCAGATCACCTGAGGTCAGGAGTTCAAGACCAGCCTGACCAACATGGTAAAACCCTGTCTTTACTAAAAATACAAAAATTAGTCAGGAGTGGTGGCAGGTGCCTATAATCCCAGCTACTCAGGAGGCTGAGGCAGGAGAATCGCTTGAACTCGGGAGGAGGAGGTTGTAGTGAGCCGAGATTGTGCCATTGCACTCTAGCCTGGATGACAGTGTGAGACTTTGTCTTAAAAAAAAAAAAAAAAAAATCACAGGTTTGACAGAGACCTGAGAAAGTCACATAATATAGTAATATAGTAATTTTCCGGGCTCACAGCGAAAGGTATACTTGAACCATCAGGTTGTCACTGAAGTCAAAGTACTAGGGAGTATCAGTTTGCATCTGGTTCATGTTAATAACATGGGGTCATGGCCAGCAGCATCTGTGAGTGGGTTGACTTTGACAACACAACTTCTATTAGCAAATCTTAGAGATGATTTAAAAAAAACAAAAACCAGGTTTAGTTCAGATTTTAAGCTGACATTCCAGGTCAATCCAGCAGTTCCTATTTTTAGTTGACCCAAACTTCTACTTCTCAAAATTCTGATATTAGTCAATTTCCTTGGACCTGTATTTTTCTCGTCTATAAGACTTTCAGATCACATACACTTGAATTACTAGTGGCACTGAGTTATGTCTTAGGCACGCAATACTTAAAACAAAGAAGTCATTTGACATTTGGATGGAAGACCAGCCAGTGGAATTATGCTTAGGAAGCAAAATATCTGCAGCAAAGCAAGGGAAATGTGTAAGCATTCTAGTGAAGCTGTAGGGGAAAAGAAATCCTAACAAATTTCCAGTGAGCCAAGGAAGGTAAAACAGAAATTAACTGTGCAATACCCACTATTCCTAATTTGAAATATGTGCTATGCCTTTGACATTCATTTTGTTGAAAAGGCCACTGTGTTTTATTTTGCTGAATGTAAATAAAGGAGGCTGGGAGGAGTGACCCTAGTCTCTTTTGAGCACGTCTCTTATGCCACTGTATCTCTCAACTGTTTTTCGGAAATAATGTCCACCCCCCTTTAAAAACAAACAAAACTTTTAGAAACAAACAAAACTTAAACAGGTTGGTTCCCTTTTAGAGCAACTTCAAGCTCCAGAGACAAGGTTGGAGGGAAAACAACTTATCTCCTTCTAAGCACTGCCTTCCCCGCAGGTTCATCCCTGTGTGTCAGGCTGTGCTGGTCATCTCCATGACGCATCTCCCCTCTGTCCTGCTGGCATGCTTACAACAGTCCCAGGGGACTGCTGGCAGCTTTGACCTCTCCAAGAGCCATGTGGGCTGGAAGACTTCCATGTCCTCCCTTGCTAGACTTTTTTTTTTTTTTAAGACACTGTCTCACTCTGTTGCTCAGGCTGGAGTGAAATGGGATGATCTTGGCTCACTGCAACATCTGCCTCTTGGGTTCAAGCGATTCTTGTGCCTCAGCCTCCTGAGTAGCTGGGACTACAGCTGCGCCACCATGCCCAGCTAATTGTTGTACTTTTAGTAGAGATGGGGTTTCACCATATTGGCCAGGCTGGTCTCGAACTCCTGACCTCAAGTGATCTGCCCACCTTGGCCTCCCAAAATGCTGGGATAACAGGTGTGAGCCACCACACCCTGCCGTTGCTAGACTTTTGAGCTGGGGGAGACCTAAAAGAGACCCTGTCTCTTATCCTCTGTGTTCAGGGGATCTTTGTTTCAGAACCTCCCTCATTCTTGGTTGTCCTGGCATCTTGCTTATGGATTGGGTGGGGTCCAGCGGCCTGAATTGGTAAGGATATAGTGGCTATAATATATAGCCTATTATATATAATGATAAAGCTAAGTGATAATGATAAAGCCAAGTGTTCACAGTGTGCCAGGCACTTGGCTAAACACCCCTTATAAAGCCTTTCAACCACCCTATGAGAAAGAGGTACTATTATTATCTCCATTTCAAAGATGAGGAAACTGAGGCAGAGAGGTTGTCACTTGTGTCTGGATAAATGGCCAGTATGTTGTGGAATAGGGATCTGAACACAAGCAGTCTGACATCAGAGACTGAACTCTCAACCACCACTCTTATAAACATGACCTCCATAAACCAATAGTGTTTTAAAAAAAATTCCTTTTAAAATTGAATTCTGTTTACTCTGAGAGTCACTTATATTTGAAATAGAGTTTTCCCTGTAAAAGGATGCTTTGGTATTCTCTTCTCTCAACTGACAGTTTTTTTGCATTCATAACACATGTGAGAACTGTGAATTCTTCCATTTGACATTTTTTTAAATGCCCTTGGGGAGAAGAAAAGGAAGTTCTTTTTTTACCTCCTGTTCGTTGGCTTCCTTCTGGGAAGAATCCTGGGCTGTTGCCGAGACCCTCCCTCTCCAGAAGCTCATGCACCTAGGGCCTGGTGTCAGTCCCCCCGAGTGGGACATCACCCACAGGAGCCGCTCTGTCCTCCAGGACCACATGGGCACAGCATTTGGCTCCCCGAAGCGACTAAACGTGCTACTGAGGAATGTTTTTTGTATTTATTTGTTTTGTTAAATTGCATTGGTGTTTGGACTTTGAATAGCTTTCTCTGCTTCGCTGACTGCTCTCCAGTCAGGATTACTAGTTTTCATAACTTTGTTTTTCTAGAATCATCCAGCTTTGGTAAGATAATAATGAAAAAAACAAAAAAAACCCCACTCTATTTTAGTTAGTAAGCAAAGACTAACTCTGCTATCCAATCACATTGTTTGTTGTCTGAAGCTGTGTTGTCACAGCGAGAGAGGGAAAGGAACTGAGTGAAGACACCATGTGGTGTCCGGAGGCATTTGACCTCACCATTGGCCCTAGGCACCCCCCTCAGATGTGGTCCAGCAGGTTACACAAGTTCAAAAATGATGTTTTCTTCACAGAAGCTTTAAAAATAAATAGAGTTTGAAAAGGAAGAGTCAAGTTCTAGGTTAGGATGAGTCAGTGTGAGATTTTTGACCCTTTGGCTCACAATACTTCCAAGGCAACTTAATAAGCTGACCATTCTTGTTTGTGCAGTGAAAAACTAATTTCAGATGAATGCTTAGAGAATGCTAATTAATTATCCTTTCTGACGTTCTCTGCATACATCTAAACTGGCAAATATTTATTTTCCTCACTGGTTGTCAATGATCAATCACCAATATTTAACTTGCAACCTTCAAATGACAAACAGTAAAGATATTTCATTTGCATTTCAAGCAAGTTTTAAAAATTTTCAAATGAAAATGAAAAGGTTTGTAGAGTGATTGTAAGATAGAAATGCAGTTATGTAGAGGTGCTGTTTAAATAGAAAACATGTTTTCAGATAACAAATAGAGAGTCTCTCTTTTATTTTTCCACTAAGTTATGATGTTCTCCTTATATATATATGTGTGTGTGTGTGTGTGTATATATATGTGTGTGTATATATATATATATTTTTTTTTAGACGGAATCTCGCTCTGTTGCCCAGGCTGGAGTGCATCTCAGCTCACTGCAAACTCTGCCTCCCGGGTTCACTCCAGTCTCCTGCCTCAGCCTCCCAAGTAGCTGGGACTACAGGTGCCCGCCACCACGCCTGGCTAATTTTTTGTGTTTTTTAGTAGAAACGGGGTTTCACCATGTTAGCCAGGATGGTCTCGACCTCCTGACCTCATGATCTGCCTGCCTCAGCCTCCCAAAATGCTGGGATTACAGGCGTAAGCCACCACGCCTGGCCTCCTGAAATATTTTAAATGATAACAAAAGCATATATGGACAATAATTATCTTTCTTTCTTTGAGATGAAATCTTGCGTGTAGCTCAGGCTGGAGTGCAGTGGCACAATCTCAGCTCACTGGTATCTCTGCCTCCTGGGTTGAAGAAATTCTCCTGCCTCAACCTCTCAAGTAGCTGGGACTACAATCGCTTGCCACCACACCTGGCTAATTTTTGTATTTTTAGTAGAGATGGGGTTTCGCCATATTGTCCAGGCTGTTCTTGAACTCTTAGCCTCAGGTGATCTGTCCACCTTGGCCTCCCAAAGTGCTGGGATTACAGGTGTGAGCCACTGTGCCTGGCCAGTTAACTATATTTTTACAGTTTTAAACTGACTTGTAAAATGAAAGCAACGACTACAAGAAAAAACTTTTATCAGCTCAGACCCTCTATTCCACCCTTCCTGATAGTTTTCACTCTTCCCTTTCTCCACCCAATTTTTGGCATATTTGAGACTGGTAAACCTGGAGGCTCTAACACTTTTTAAGAATGGTTTGGTGACTCTTGGCTGGGAAGGATGTGGATTGATAGAGTGTTTGTCCAGATCTCTGCAGTCTGGGGATCTGTCCCATATCTCCCTGGATCAGTTCGACAGTTGGGGCTTTTAGGCAGACCACCATGGGCAGCTCTGATACGGATACGTGCACATTGAATTGCTCTGAGGTATCTATGGGAACGAGGTGGCTG